CCCGATGAGGGAAAGCGAATTTAATCGCTTTGACGGTGGCGTTCCAAGCGCTGGTCCATTCGCCGCTCGTTTGGACCTTCTTTGCTGGTTCTGATCATCCAAGGGAGATTTCAGTTGATCCCACGCGTCCAACGTTCTCTTTAGGAGCGGATATATGATGCAGTGATGAGAACACGGCATTGAGGTTGACAGCTTGACCTTTGATGACGTTGTCCCACTCAGAGGAAGGGAATCCGAGGGGAGCTGTTCTGGAGTTTTGGATCCACTGCCGGACAACTTTGTAGTCTCGGGCGAAGAGCTGGAGTAATCGTCTAGATTCTTCGCAATCCTTGTTTCCGGTTCGCCTGGCTTCATCTTCTCGATTGTACCAGGGCATTTCCGATTCAAAGACTCGTCGCTTCTTGTTTGAAGGTTCGTCTGAATCGTCGTCATACTGAGATGGAGAGGGAGAGTTCCCCCTTTTCGACTTGTTGGAGTCTCGACTGATCTGAGAGACGAGTTTGTCGATGGCTCAGTCTCGGTCAACGTCCCGTAATTCATGTTGTTCTGATCCAAGTCCATTCGGTTGTAATCTGACTTGAGCGTGTTTGCCTCGCTTAACCGCTGAAGAAGCGAGGGCGGCGTATTCGTCGAGTGTTTTGGCGTAGAATTCAACGGCAGCATCCTTGGCTCGGTTGGTCCTCGATGGATCGAAGTCGAGGATTGAGATAATGTTGGATAGAGCCTTGAGTTTGGTAATTTCGCCTTTTCTGAACTTGTTGACGACATCGTCCATGTACTTGATCGATTCTTCTTCAAGTTGTGGTCTACCCCCCGAGTTTGGTTCATCGAGGTCGTCGACATCTGGGTCTTCGGCATTCCCTCCTGGAGGTTGAGTTCCTCGGGGATTAGATTGGTTACCATCGACGTCCTCATTCGACGGAGCAGGGTTGGTTCTGTCTCCTCGCTCGTCTGAACACTCGCTGTTTCTCACAGTTGCATTCTCTCCAGAAGGCTCGGCTTGTCCTTCGTCACTTCGTCCAGCTGCATTCGATCCCAGAGTGCTGGACGATCCATTCCCTGGGATGGGTACTGCAAAAAGTCTCGCATGCCCCTCACTCATAAGTCACAATGAGGAACGATGAATACGGATGTATTGAAAGTGACGAGAAATGTGTATGCTAGAACTAGATAACGAGGTAAGATATCAAAACGAGGGCCTAGATTAAAAAATGAGAATCATACCTGGTTGAGGAGTGAGATGTCAAGACGAGAGCCTGGCGGAAAGGGGGCGTCTCAACCTCACTCCTCAACCATGAGGGGTATATCTAAAAATAAATCAAGGCCTGTTAGTGCACATCCAAGCGTGGATCACGTGAGTTAAGGGAGAGACGAGCAGCGGCTCTGAGTCGTGTGTCAGCGGACACACGACTGAAGTTGTGCGCGTGCAACTTAGCCTTGGACGGTTTTCATTGGACTTGAGTAAACACCTTGTTTAAACTCGATTAATTGAGCAGCATTTGGATGGATGGCTCAGGTTCCAGCTGGATGATGTTGCCAAAGGCATTGCCAAATAGTCGCAAATAGTTGCCTCCCTGTGGCCAGATCCTCAAAAGGTACGCTATTCATTCTTTACACCTAAATTTAATGAAACATAGACATTCTGGTACTCTAAAAGTAGAATACAGCCCGATTTTCCATGTTTCACGTTCATGGCGCCCTTGCAAGTAGATGGATGTGATGTTGTGAACTTGGATGACATGTTTGAAGCTTTAGACAAATAGTTGCAAACTTCCCAAACACATTGAAAACACCGGAAATACAACTGACATTAAGCAAGGAGAGGAAGGCAACATTACTCTGACAATGGTAATACATCTTAACATGGTTAATTTACAACCTTTACCTTAAACTTTGATCAGAAGTTGGCTAAAAGTTGCAGAGAAAGGAGCATCTCTGTTTTTTAAGATAAAAAACATATAATTCCAGCAACTTGTAATTTTAAACCTGCCAGCTATAGCCTACTAACACCTATAGCATAAGTGAAACAATATTAGGACAGGGAGTTTTAAATTTTGAGTGAAATAACACACCTGAAAGTCATGTTCCCATTTTTTAATATTTAGGAGGTTTTTAAAACATAGAATTGTGTTGGGAAAGCTTTCTCTGCTTGCCTAATATTGAGGGGATCAAATTCACCTGACTCAGCTAAAGGTGGATGCCACTATAAAATTTCTGGGGGCTATATTCACTTTGATAATGAAGTATTAGTTGTGAAAGTCAGGGAATACAGTGTATTTCATCTGATTTAAACTATACTGTGTCCCCTAAAATCACCCAATGGCCATGAAACTTACATAGATATCTTCATAATGAAAACCTGAATGGATCCACAAATTTTCATGGGAATCAGAGGATTGTGTAGGTACAGGTGATGGGATAGGTTGGGAGGGACACAGTAAAGCAACTGAAAGTGCCTGAAACTCAGCTGTAGATTGAAATTCGTCTGACTTTTACTCCCTGCCTGGTAAATACATAGTGCTACCTATCTCAAATGCTAGTACTACTCCTTAGGACCTTTAAATACATTTTTCCGTATTTTTTTTCCCTCAATGACAAGTGCGTGCAGTGCTCCTTCAGCGCTCAGAAAATGCTGAGTGCTGTTGATGCGCGGTTTGGCATGCCACATCTCCACCACTCCATCCACCTGCCGTTCAACAAACGACTCATCGTCAGTCCGCTGCCACTCCACCAACCAATCGTCCTCAAATCCATGCTCTCACTCAAGTCATCGTCTATTGAGTGACTGCCCCTCGATGTTTGTGCAGAAACCACCACTGGATCACATTTGGGATTCCAGAGGGGAGGACGTGGGGATGTTCGCTACACGCGAATGCTATACTGGTGCCATTATCCTACAAGAGCACCCCATCGTCTCTCATTGAATTATCCAATGGCACCACCAGAAAATGGTTGACGTGTCACGCCAACGGTCCATCCGGGTGTGCCACATCGACATCGACTTTCAGGACGATGACGCCCATGCCACCAAGACCCAGCTACAATGATGCTCCACCATCATCACCCTTCACCAACGCCGGCTATCACCTACCATCACCACAACCAATGAACAATGACAATGATGGGTCATGAGTTCCCACTTGAATCCGGAGCAGAATTCTGGGTTTTTGGACCATTAGTGGGTTTTTTCTTTTCTTTCCTTTGTAATATTGATGAATCTTTTGATAAAATAGCATGGACATCCCTGTTGACCTCTCATGTGTCCTATTTGTGTGCACAGCCAACAATGTTGACACCATCCCTGCACCTCTGTTGGGCCGTATGGAAGTCCTTGAAGTTTCCGGATACGTGTCTGAGGAAAAACCCATCATTGCTTCGTGTTATTTGGGAGCACAGGAAAAGGATGCCTCTGGTCTAGGAGGAGCAGACTTGGAATTGGAGGCAGTGGATGATGGTGACAACAACGGGGGACAAGAGCATCACCGGCTCCACCCCAGGTGAGCTGACATACCCCTCCCCCCTACTCCCCTAATCATACACAATCTAGATGTCATGTCGTCAACAGCGCCCTGGCAATCAAATGACAAACAACGACTGATTCATTGTTCGTCATTGTCAGACTGACCCAACAAGACGACCAACGACCAACACAACAAGAGGACGGACAACACAACAACAGGTCGACGACGACACGCGACGACGTCACCAGACAACGACGATGCAACAAGACACACGGAAACGGGACGACAACAACGGTACTACGATGCCCAGGACAATGGCGGCACGTAGCCTACTCAAGGATACGCTAAATTGCTGCAGCATTTTGTGAGCAGTATGTGCCGACTATGCGAGGATCGGATCATGAGAGGATTGTGCAGTGTGCGAGGGCGAATGGGTGTAGTGAGGGCGAGGATTATGCGATCGGGCAGGGAGGATTTGGTTGGCTGGGAAGATGGTTGATGAGGGCATACCTTTTTTCATGACTTTTCAAAATGTACATTAGCAAGGAATTTATGTATTAGACCCTTTTTACTGTTTTTCTTGCCCTCTATGTTGTGTCGTAAAGTAGCTACCCTTCTTTCAAGTTGATTTCGGTATTGTTTACATTTGTGTACCAACAGCATCTAAGGCACAAAGTCATCCAAAAAAGGTTTGTCGCATCCAGCTTATTTTGGTCAAATGTGGTGGAGGGAAACTATTTAGGAGGGTCAGAACATTATCAAAAATATATATTGTAAAGTTCCAGTGGTTCTTTCGAGGAGAAACAATGTTGTAAAGCATAAATATCTCTTCAGAATTCAAACTGTGCATTGTTGACAATTGTGTACCAATGGCATCAAAAGGTCCAAGGTCATCTGAAATGGATTTGTCGCATCCAGCCTATTTCGGTCAGATTTGACAGAGGGAAACTATGTAAGAGTGTCAGAACATTATCAAATATATATTTGGGAAAGTTTCAGGTGTTCTTTCTAGGAAAAACAAAGCTGTAGGACATATATATCTCCTCAGAATTTGAACTGTGCATTGTTGACATATATTTAGACAAGAATTATATTTATGTGAAAAGCCCGCCCCAATAAATCCTAGACCAAACCGATGTGCCAGTGCATGCTGCAGACCTCTGGCTTGAATGCATGGTTAATGGCAAAGCATTAAGTGCAATAATGTGGGTGAGTAGGGCAACGACTACAGCCAGGGGTGTCCGCTAGGCGATCCAACAACTGTCCCACTACCAAAGTGATACCTACGTTAAGTAGCGGTTCACACTCAGTGCCTCTGTGATTTTGACTCCATGCAACAATACTCTATGCCTTGTTGCCGCCCTGAAGAACCATCTTGCAGTCAACTCATCTTTGGATCACTCCACCTCCCTCTTCGCATACACGACTGCCTCTTCCCAACCGAAGATTCTTCTCAAGCATGAATTTCTCAAGTTCTGCAACAATATTTGGTCATCAGCTATGCTCACACATATCCTTGGTCATAGTTTCCATATAGGAGGTGCTGTCAAACTCCTTCTCACCAGCGTGCCACCTGAGATTGTTGCTGCAACAGGCAGCTGGACCTCTCTCGCCTTTCTGCTCTACTGGCGCCGCATGGAAGAAATTCTTCCAATGAGTACATTAAAAGCATACAACAAGTCGCACATCAACTCGTTGGCTGCAATATTCGAACTTTTCCGTATCCAAAATAAAATCCCATCAGTGCTGATCGCTGCATTCAATGGGAACCTGACTCTGTAACTCATTTATATTATCTACTTTGTATTTATATTTGCAAAGGAAAATTTCTCCAAAGTGCTGCTTGATTTGGGTAGTTCCGTGCTGAACCAACCTGCTTGTTGTGAGCTGACACTCTGGCTGGTATAGCTGGTTGGTTACTCTACCCAAACAAGCCCTCCAGATGCTCAGGTCTTGTCTGTCTTCTCAGATTTAATTATTACTAATTTACTATCAAAAATCGGAATTGAGTGAGCCAGGCAAGTCCTATGCAAAAACAAGTTATCTGTGTCTGTGAATTTCTTGCATCTACAGTTGAGTGCAAAAAGAATGAAGGTTGGTTCATTTTTCTGGTTCTTTCTAAGAATCTATTGTACCTCAAATGTATTTGTGTATTCTTTTGCATTATGTAGTTGTGTTACACTTCCCTTGGTATGGACTAATTTCAGTGAAAGCTGGAGCCTTGAGAAGGTTTTTATTCTGGAGGCCATTTTTGGCATCTGAAAAAAAAAATATGCGCTAACTGGGGAGGTAGCCAGAACATACCTCTGGTCAACCTGAATGAGCCTATCAAAGAATTAGTTAAAATACTGAGCA